TCTGCGTGGCCCTGGGGATTGTGGTAGGAGGTGTTTGCACGCCCAGCAAGGTGGAAGGGCAGACAGCTATCGCGGCCCTGGGAATCCGATGGAAGGTGTTTGCGTGCCCCTACCCACCCCAGGGCCTGCCCTCCGGTTTCCCTAGAGCCCCAGGGGGCCGACGCTTTCCTGCCGGCGCTGGCGGAGGAGCTGATCTGGAGTCCGAACATTGGGGAGACGCAGCTGGATGTGGAGTTCCTTATGGAGCTCCTGGATCCCAACGAGCTGCGGGGAGAGGGTGAGCCCCCACCCCCAGAATGCCGGGGTCCAACAAGGGGAGCTCTAGGGTCACCCGAGCCCCTGACGCCTCTCCCTGAAGCGGGCGGGAAGGCGGGCAGACTACAGGGGCACTCTGGGCTGCGAGGGAAACTGGGAGGGCTGACCTCCCCGCTTTGGCCCCCAGCCGGGTACTACTTGACCACGTGGTTTGGAGCGCTGCACCACATTGCTCACTACCAACCCGACGTGGGCCGCGCGCCCCAGGGGCTCAGCTCCGAGGCCCGCGCCTCCCTGCGCCAGTGGCACCGCAGGCGGACGTTGCACGGACATGACCGCGCCAGCACCCAGGTGACCACCGGCCGGGGCTGCAAGCGGAGGGTAGGGCGGGACCTGACGCCCTTCTGACCCAGGCTCCCACCTCTCCCCCCCAGGCTGACCTGCCCTTTGAGGAGCCGTGGGCAGGGGGAACAGAGCCCGGGAACCAGTGATGGTTAGGGGTCTCAGACCCCTCTGTTCTTCAAGCAAGATGGGGAAGGCTCACCGGGACAGCACCAGCTTCTGACCCCGTGGTTTAGGGGCAGCAAGGAGGAAGGGCAGTACTACAGGGGCCCCAGGAAAAGGGAACTGCCTGCCTCTGGGCCTTTGTACTGGCTGTTTCTGCTTCCTGGAATGCCCTTCCCTCATATCCACACTGCGCCTTCCCTCCCCTCCTTTGGGGCTTCACTGCAGATGTGCAGATGTAACCTTTACAGGAGGCCCTCCCAGACCACCTGTCTGACACTTCCATCCCTCTCACTTGACCCTCCACCTGGGAAGCAGAGTAACTGCGCCCCCCACCCGCCAAAGATGTCCATGATCGAATCCTTGGAACCTGTGAATATATTACCATACATGGTAAAAGGGCCTTTGCAGATATGGTTAAAGTAAGCACCTTGAGATGGGGAGATTATCCTGGATTATCCAGGTGGGCCCGGTGTAATCACAAGTGTCCTTATGAGAGGGAGGCAGGAAGGTCAGAGTCAGAGGAGGAGATGTGGCAATGGAAGCAGACGTCGAGTGGTGTGGCCAGGAGCCAAGGAATGCCAGCAGATTCTAGAAGCTGGAAAAGACAAGGACTGGACTGTCCCCTAGAGCCTCCAGAAGGAACACAGCCTTTGATTTTAGCCCCGTCAGAACCACTTCAGACTTCTGACCTCCAGCCCTGTAAAATAATAAATTTGTGTTCTTTTAAGCCACCAAGTTTGTGATCACTTGTTATAGCAGCAACTGGAAATGCATACAGCTTCTCAGCACTGACTGTATAAAAGAGAAGAGAAGGGGAAGTAATGCCCAACGCGACAAGTGATGCTTATCCAGAGATACAAGAATTTACTGGGAAAGTAGGAAAGCCCTCGCAATCCGTCTCTTGAAGAGATGTATTGCCATGAAATGCTTAACATTTTATGTTTTATAATGATCGAGATTCTGTAGGTTTAGAAGTCAGCGAAAAGTGTGCCAGGGAACATGGTTTGGTTTGGTTTCCAATTGTTTTTGGAAGCCAGCAAGCTTGAGGACAACTGCACTGGGGGGTGGTGCAGCAGGAAGCGGGGGTTGGGGGGACTGCAGGTCTCACCCTCTGTACTAATGTCCGTCTAGAGCTGAGGGGGGCAGCCACAGCCCAGTGCCTTTCTGGTATCCAGCTCCTCTTCCCTAAGAGCCATGCAGGCCACCAAAAATCTCACTGTGTTTATTTTTCCCATTGTTTTAGTCACATTATCTAACATGTGGTCCAAAGTCAAACTTCTCCAGTCGTTCTCCCAAAATAACTTTCATCGGCTAATCTAGAATTGAACCCAGGATCACACACTGCATTGGGTTGCTCTATCTTTAGTTTCATTGAATCCGGGGCGGTCCCCCTCACCTTCTTTGTCTTGTCCCAACGCTGGTTTTTTGAGCCACGGCCAGGGTCTTGTAGACCGTTCAGTTCTTGGCATCGTCTGATGTTTTCTCATGATTAGATTCGGGTCCTGCATTTAGGGGCAGAACACTGCCTAGGTTACACCGTGGGCTTCTCCATACATCACTTCAGGGGCCCGTGACCAGTGAGGCTGAATTT